TCTCTCTATTCCCTACGATGCCGCGTGTACTGTACTCGCAACCCATCACTTCCACACCATCCTCTTGCCCCACGCATGTCCCCTCTTCCCCTACCGAACAAGATACTGGGGGGGGGGGGTGGGGGGAGGTGTGGATGTACATGAGATTTCGCAATATCTACGGAAAGCCCCCAACCTAACTCTATCAACCTATGCCTGCAATAGCTTGATAGATTCATCTTTCGCGGCATGCAGACTGGTTGGCGCGTCTCGCGCAAGCAACATAATTTCGTTGCTAGCAAAATTTCGAGGCTCCCAGCTACCAGATCATATGCAAATGGCTATTTCGACTCAGAGAAGCATATCCCTGCGACTTCAGGGAACCCACGACCAATCTGATGTTGTGATAAATGGTATACTGGAGAAGATTTCGTGCACATCAACAGACATACGATCTCACTGCTCATATGGCCGTTTAGTACTCTCTCGGGCAGAAAACAGGTTACTACGCAATGAGTTCGCCAAGATGACGCTTCTTTTGACAAGCTGGGAGTTACGCTCGCAACCATCCGGACTGGAGCTTAAAGTCTCCCGATTGAAGAACACTGCACTTGGTAGGGTATTACGGTATTAAGGAGATTTCGCGGAAGCACGGGATACCTTGAACCATGCCTCCATATGGTCACGGTCAGCACTACTCGCTATCATATAATTCACCACCCTGCGGATGTTTATTGCGAATTATGCATTGGGGATGAAGCCGAAAAATTGGTTATGAACGAGGTTTCTCGGCTAAGAGTCGATGGTAAGAAAAACTCCGGGTGTTTCCGGCGCGTGGCTCTTTCGCTAACAGAGGCCGCCAGAGGCGTCCTCCAGGAACTTGTTGAGTTTTTGCACCTCCTAGAATAGAAGGAAAGGTGGAGCTCGATGTGCCCGATGTGCCCGATCAGTTGGGCGTTCAACGATTAGCCTGGTACGCGTCGATTGGTACGAGCATCGATGGGAGGAAGCTCATCAAAATTTAGGGACTGCACTGTGTCTTGCGGGAAATAACAAAACATTTTCTGATGGCAACTTCTACAGTGGAGTAATTTCTCTCTTCCTGTTTTGGTGAAACTCAAGGTCAGCGACTCGGAGGCTGGGGAAACACTTGCATCAGCAGAAAGGATCCTTAAGGGGCAGCCTAAACAGGACTTCATGCCAGGAAGGGGAACGAAGTTCCTAGAGCAATTGTGGTCCTCCACTCCACGCGTTGATTAGGTTTAGCTTTTCTAAGACTCCTACCTGGTTCTGTGACCAATATTATATGAGACGCTGTTCTCCAATGCTCATGGCCATATGCCTCAAGGAAAAAAACTCCAAAACGCGCACGAAAAATGGAAAGAAACCACGAGGTTAGTGCGCCATAACATAGGAAGATATATACCCACTATTCCTTTTCAGAGAGCCATACATCGCTTAAACACGAGGCGAGCGACCCCCAAAGCCTTAACTTGGATGACATGCGTGGCTCAGATGACATGGTGGAATGGCTAAAACTTCTTGGTCACTCAGTACATACATCTGCATCATCTACTACAATCAAAATCGTTGCTGAACACAAGAACAGATTGGAGACCTGAGCCACTTAAATGTTATACACGTCGCAGGGACGAAAGGGAAGGGCAGCACCTGTGCATTCATCGCATCCCTCCTCAAGGCGCACGGGGATATGACCGGAGACCCTCAGAAAATAGGGCTATACACATCCCCGCATATGAAGGACATACGTGAGAGGATTCGCATTAATGGTGAACCGATATCGAAAGACCCCTTTGCAACGCGCTTTTTTAAGGTCTGGGATAAGCTACCGAGCAAAACTACAACCTAGATATTTATTAAAGTATGTACGTTATGCACGGTTCTTCGTGTGGTAAAAGAAAGTGTCATTCGCATGCTGCTTGTCTCTAACTAACTAAGTTTTATGAGGGGTTGAACCACGTTTATATATACTGGGAAACTGAATCACCCTATTTCTGATAAAAAGAGCAGGTTTCATATAAGTGATGGCCTCGTACAAGGGATAACAATCGAAGTGCCGGCGTGGCGAGAACTAGTGCTTCCGGAATAGCTTCAACGCTGAAAGGGCTGATATCTGACAATATTCCACGGTTCCTTCGGCTCCTGACCCTGCTGTCCTTTCATGTATTTATCGAAGAGATAGTGGACGTGGCGATTTATGAGACCCACTTTGGCGGAGAAGTTGTTGCAACGAACGTCATAGAAATGCCGACGGTGACGGCCATTACTTCAATTGCGATGGATCATGCCAAACTGCTCGGCCCAACGATTGAAACCATTGCCTGTCACAAGGAAGGAATCTTCAAATTAGGAAGCGTAGCCTTTTCAACCCTCCAGGAGCCGGCAGTCATGGAGGTGCTCCAACAACGTGCAGCCGACAAAGGTGTTTTGCCCATGATCAGTCGGACTGGACCCTACAATCCCGACCAATGCGATTGCCTTAACCCAGAGAATCAACTGCTCCCTGGCGCTTGCAGTCGTTCGCTCTTGGCTAGGTAGAAAGGCACCGGATGGACAAAATATAAGTACTCAATAGCATCTCCCACGGCATCGGGCAGTTTTCCTGGCCGGGAAGGTATCAGCATATCAGAGTATCATTCGCAATGGCAGAATTGCGGGAGTTGTTGACTTGGCACTTGCAGGCTGGTACCTAGAGTATTGGGATCTAACCAAGGCATATTACATTTCATTCAAGGTGCCGGACTGGCCCGAGAGCATCAAACTTAAGCTTCCTTCATATGCGGACGAGCTTGTGGCAGAGCGCCTTCTTTAGAGGCCCTACAATGAACCAGGAAATGTTTCGCGCAACTAGCTTATCTCTTTATAGTCACAAATCCCGCTTGGACCGGGGTTGGCCAGGCATTGATTGGCATAATCCAATATCCAGACTTTGAAATTTTCGATATCAAAGTTCAGTATCACCGATGCATTCCTTAGGGTGGATATGGCATTCCAGACCCAATGGCGACACCTTTCTCCTGTTTCTTAAGGATCCGGCAGAGCAACACTCCTGAGGATGTTTTCAAGGTCATTTTCTGCCGTTTGCGGAGGAACTTTTCCGATCAGCCAACCGCCCACTGTCCAACGGAATTCACGTTCCTAATCCTGAAGAACCAATCTCTTTCTGGGTTCAGGTCTTGTCCAGTTTCATTATCCAACCGAACGCCGTCCGAAACGTCGTATGCCATGTTGTCGCGGCCGTTGGACTTCTTAGGTGCCAACAGAACTCCCCAGTGGTATGCACAGTACGTGTTGCGTATTCTTTCTTGAAGAGACACTTGATCTCGGTGGTGAATGGCGATAAAATAGCCGCTTTTTACTGCCCATACCTGTACCGCAGCGTTCAAATTCATTAGATTGATGACTACACTCTAGTTAATGGGCCATTTCTTACTGTAGAGGTCTGGGGATTGATTAAGCAAGGTTACTTGGAAGTTTGCCAGTTTTGAGAGCTTATCACTTTGACACTATCACCTTGACACCGAGCAACTGACAGGGTGGTATGATGGCGCTTATAACAGCGACACAGAACCATTTTCAAGGAAATGGCTTGCTCCTTACCAATACAGATGGGCCAAGTGGCCCATGGATGCAGGCCAATATCAATCCTTCCTTCAAATCATGTTCATGTTGGTTAAGTCGTAATTGGATGCCCTTGTACCCACGATCGCTGCTAAAAATAAAAAAGGCCGCTGCTTACTTAACTGCTCGTTAACTAGCCCCTTACAGAGCGTATTCGCTCCAGTCCGAGCGCGAATATTCCACAGGGCAAGCAATGATAGCCTCAATCTGCTTGAGGTACCTTTCCTTCCCCATGTGTTGTTATCACAGTGGGGGCATTTATATTTCGTCAAAATGAAGTTTTTGCACGAGGAGTTGAAGAACATCTGCTGCAAACCCCCGCACATTCCTCCAAGGTCGATAGGAAAGAGTCTTTCTGCAGGAGCAAGTCGATGTGGTTAACTATAGGCAGTGTCCACAAGTTCGTCACGCAGACGTTTCTTTCTTTCGATCCCCACCGTGGAGAGAGCAGGGCATCGATCTGGCCAGAGTCGGTGTGGAATCATTGCGGGCGTCCGTCCGCCAAGGCCCTTTTGGGAGACCATATCAAACGAGAGCTCCCCAAGGTCTGCAGAGAGATCAGTCAGTCCCCTCCTCGAAAGGACCAAGAGTCCAGCTCCGCAAGCTTGAGCAGGAGTGGCCGACAATTTGCGATCAGCGCTACTTTCTATGCGAGCTGAGCGTGGAATTCGGAGGTCCAGGCAGCTCTGGATGGAACATACCAACATCCGAGGTCAAAGTTTTTGAGCAATTTCAATAGTATCTCTCTTATTGAACTCTTTCATAAGTAGTTCAGTTAGTGATTAACTATTATTAAATAGTATATTTTTTATATTTATAGTGAGATATTTAAACTTATTTTTTTTTATATTGGTATAAATGATTTAAAAAAATTAAACCTAGTACAATATAAGAATTTATTTTAATATAATATTAAAAGGAGCTGAAGAAATTTTATAAAAATAAAATTTTTTAATTAATTATAATTTTTTATTTATCATATTAATTAAATTTAAATTATTAAAATATTTAAATTAATTAATAAGTATTAATATATTTTTATTAATATATTTAATTATAAATTTTATAAAATAAATAAATTTTAAATTTAAAATAAATATTAACTATATTAATTATATTTTTTTATATAGTTATATAATAGTTAATTTAAATAAAAAGTTAAATATTAAATAATAAAAAATATAACTAATTATAAAAATTGAAATTATTAATATAATTTTTAAAGTATTTAATAATTTTTATTAATCATATCAATAGATAAATAAATTTTAAAAGTTTTTTATAAATAAAAATTTTTTTAAATAAATTATTTTTAAAATTTATATATAAAATAATAATTATTATTATTTTAAGTAATATCAAACCTAACAAATGAGAAAAGGAAGTAAATCAATAAAGTTCTAACTATAGAATTCAACACAATTCAACACAAAGAAGCTGCTAATTCATTCACCTGAACAGCCTGTCATTCAATCCTGCTGTCTAGGCCACACTTACAAGCATTCACCAAGGTGCAGCAACTGTCGCACACCCAGAAATACAAGCAGATGGTGTTATTTTATTAATGTAGTATTCTGGGTTAAAATTAAGTTTAGTTCCGCTATTTCGTAGATTGTTAAAATAGACGAAAACAGACAAGCCCTAATTTCATTAAAAAAATTTAGTTTATACCAGGAACAAGAAGGACAAGGCAACGGAGAGAATAAGAAGCTAGGAATAGAGGTGGGGAATGGAGGTTGAAAATAAATATGATTTGGGAATTGCTTCCAGGAACCGTTCTAATTTCCTTTATTTCCCCTCTTTCAGTCGGCAAGCAAAGAACAAGAAGGTAAAAAAACGAGGTCATACAGAGGGCGCAAAAGACAATCAGGTACCTTAAAGGCGGATTTTAGAAGAAATAGTAATAAAAATTGTTAAGAACACAAGAGGTTTTGAAAACAGACAGAAACTGACGCAACCCGGCCTAAAGAAAAAAGCATTAAGCACAGTAAGAGACGAGAGAAAAAAAGGAGGTACATATAGAAACAAGTAGCCGATCCCAGATCGAAAAACACGTCCCACAAAACCCGTAAACGCCATTCCTGTCCGTAGGAATATATCAAACAAGACAATAGGATTCCTTGACGATCCCGACCAAAATGGGAATATAAAAAGACCTTCCAATTTCGAAAAAAAAAAAAAAATTTAAAATAAAATCAGCCAAAAATAACAAGAGTAGAGTATGTGTATTTACAAGAAAATCGATATTAAAGAAGATATAATTATGTCGACCCTTCGGGCGCATTGTAAAATGGAAGGGAAATATTGGGATCGGTGGGAAGGAGAAACGCTTAAAATTGTTCTTTTTTTGTTTGTCCTTTAATTTCTTGAGATTAGACGTTCGCGAATATCTCATCGAGTTCGTCAACCTCCACGGTTTCGGGGCTTTGTAGGTCGGTCCACGACTCTAGTCCGAGTCCCGATCCCATTTCGATACCAAGATCCATGACTGACTTAAATCCGGCGAAAGGATCGCCTATTGACAAACCCGATTTGTCATTGGCAGTTTCGTTGGTAGAACCATCAGCCATATCGAACGATGTTTTTATGTCTCCGTCCATTCCGTTCGCGTATGCCACCAGGGCAGCATTCACCTCGTCAGCTTCAAGAATGGCGATAGATCTTTTGGAACCGGCGGCTAATCCAGCACTATTCACGGCGATTCTAGTGGCAGAAATTCCACGACCAATAGTTGCGGTGACGTCGTTCTCTCCTTTAAGCAGCCCAACAGAAATGTCGTTCACGACGCGTTTGGTGTCCATATTCAGGTCCGCCTCAGCCTCAGCATGTGATGTGGCATTGGTAGTTGAAGTGAATGTGGACATTTCAGAAGAAACGGAAGGTGACGGAGATGCGCCAAAGAGCGCAGTAGCGGTGGCGTTATCCAAGTCTTGGTCATGACCGGGATTCTGAAGTATGTGAGAGGCAAAGTAATCAACATAATCACTGTCTTGACGATTAGATTCGCCATGCGACGAGGTAGACTGATCCATTTCCACGTCACTGCTACCCACAGATGATTCATTTCCATTCACCGGATCATCCTGAGGCTTTTCATCCTTCTCGAGATCCTGTCGTCGTTTCGCCGCCTCCTCTTCTGAGGATGTTCGCTCGCGAACAGAGCTTGCTGTCTGGGTAAATTCCTTCTCATCCCCCTCAAGAGGTGGAGATATCGATCGGCTATTATACGTTACACGCTGATTGTGGAGGTTTGGCAGACTGCTCCTTACACCGTAGTTTGCGGTTGAGGTGTGGGGTCCGCCAGGGGCTGCGTGGTCATCCAGATCAACATTTTCATCGTCACCAAACTCTGGAGCTGATAAATCAACTTCTGGGCTGGGGCTTAGGCGAGCACGCTCTCGAGCTAAATCCTCGTCCGCATCATCAGAATTAATGCTTGGGTCGGATATACTGGGAGTGATCCTTTTCGATCCCATGGTCGGAGAGAATATATCATCAGACGTTTCTGGAAGTGCTTGATGTGGCGATGTTGTCAGGTAATAAAAGACTTTGCGTGGATGAACTGGGATCAACTCCTTCGCGACCGGACATGGTGAAAGTGCCGTCCACGAGCGTTTCAAGTACAAACTTAACCGCGACGATAACAAGGCTGCGGCATTCGCGGAACTGCAACGCGACACAACAAAGAATAAGTTAGATAGATTCTCTTCATATGTAGTAACAGGACAATGAACTTCTCTCTGAAAAATTAAAAACACTCACTTCGCAACAGTGTCATTGGTGGTTGAAAGGACAGTGGCAAGTTCCTTGATGAGATGAGGTCTATTTCCCGTCTTTTCCAGTTGCTCAATGACCGAAACCACAATATCATCGTTGATTCCTTCCGTGTCGATCTTGGGAGCGATCCCTGAATCTTCGGGAGATGGTGGCGGCGTGTGCTCAAAGGTTCCAGCGCCTCTCTGACTCTTTGGACGAGAGCCATCTACTTCGTCTTTTTGCGAGGTTGATTCCGGGGATTCTGATGAAACTGACAAAGGCGACCTGAACACTGAGTCATGGGACCGCTTGACCTTTTTCGATGGTGGTTGTTGTGTCTCTAAGGCGGAAGTGGTCTTGTGGGTGGGGGAGCGCTGGGAGCGCGACGAACTCGGTAACTGAATACCTAACGACGGTAGCGACAGTGACTTGCGGCGAGTGTTATAAGGCATTGCTTTAGATGAATAGAAGATAAAACAAAATAAATCATGAGGGAGAAAAGAAGAGAAGGAGGAAGGTTGATGTTTTGTTTCGGAAGTTGTAGAAGGGGGTAGAGCTGTTGAGCGCAAACAACACGCTAACTGGGGGACTCCCAAGACAAAGAAAAAAAAAACAGGAGTAAGGAAGGATTGCTTCTTTTTGGTTTATTGTGAGTTTCAGCTAGGAGACGACGGGATTATTCGAAGAAATACGCAGCGTTTTGATTGGATAGGCGAGGGTCTGTGGATCGGTCGTTGTGTGGCTGGGAAGAATAATGCGACAGGCGTTCAGCGAAGCTAGGGGGGCGAGCTAGCAAGGCAGATACCACCACATTAGGAGCCAGACCAGGTTGCGAAAATGGCGACGAGGAAGTGCGCAAATCTCTGGAGGCGGCGGTCCTATTTGGTAGCTTGCATCAGACCAGGGAGGCCAAAGTTTAAACCAGGACAAATCATAAAAAAGTATCACACCGCCGTGGAACTCTATCCAGGCGGCGAAATTTCCCAAAAGTTCCTAAATTTTATTTGCAGCCGGAAAGGATGGGTCGAAAATTCCAAAAACAATCTTACAGTAGATCAACGCATTTTAATTCGACCAGGCATTCAGAAACCACCCCAAAATTTGGAGAAGTTCAATGGATGGGTGAGATAAATATAAATTTCTTTTTTGCCAATCAACCGAAACGCAAAAATAATTACTCCTATTTATACAAGGAGGGAGAAAGGATAAAAAAAAAAAATTAACTTATCTAACCTTGGTCCGGGTTGAAGGAAGCGAGCTCAAGCGGCGTGAGATCTATGACGAGCCATTGATGTCTCAAGCAGCGGGAAAATGGCAGCAAGGGATGGTTATATTGAAAATAAAAGCAGCGAAAATCAGTGGGAAGTGCCGAAGCAACGTCGATGAACCTTCCTACGAAGGATTCCATTGAGCGCGGGCAACTTGCGCTGATTTCCCAGTGATAAAAGTAAATTAAAGGCAAACAAATAATAACTATATATGCCCAGAGCTAGTAACCGGTGACAAAGCTAGAGCTCGGGGCGGGCAGTGAGTATCCCGGCTGTTCCACTGCCAGAGACAAACAAAACTTACAGGTTTCATCACCCTGGGCGTGTACCAACCTGCATGTGGGCAAAAAATAATCAGCAAAAAACACGGTAAGCGATATCTGAGGCAGTAGCGCGAATCCGAAGCAGTTAGGGTGGACCCCTTAGAGTGGGTATTCCTAGTGCTACTTCACTTCGTGAAGGATAGGCGAATTAAAGAGCAGAGAATGAAACCTTGAAAAGTTTACCAGACACGTTTGGAACTCCCATTCCCCTACCGAGCTAGAAAACAAGGGGAACCTCGAAAGAAGAAGCCAGACGCCATGATGGGACCCACGCGAAGTTCCGGGTAACTTTAGACATTCCCAGTGGGTGAAGTCCTCTCCAATTCCTCAGCACTTCCAAATCTCCTACTGCGCACAAGTAAAGTTTCAGTGGAAGAATATCAATAACGTACAGAGCGCTTTAACCTAAGCAGAAATGAAGCTTACTAGGTAATGTATGTCCAGATCCCTTTTCAAACTGCTAACGTCATCTAGGTTAGTTTTCTCGACTGAAGCAGTATTCTTTCTGTCCTGGAGTTTTGAAACACTATATCTTGAACATCTGGGATGTTTGTCATGCTACTTCTGCCTAGGTAGTGTTGTGGGACGTATCACTTTCTGCACCAGGATCAGCAGAACGGAGCATAGTATTTGGAAGATGTTAACAAGGCACCTTGCCTGTAGATCAAATCTGTTGACGCAATGATGAATATACGGCGAGACTCCGTCTCTTGCCCCTATTACCCCTGAACACAAAAGGAGTAGCTGCGGAATTACAGGCCAACCTGTGACGGGGCATGTTGGGTTGATGTAATTCCGGGTATCCAGCTGATATGGAATTCTGGAGAATCAATCAACGCGCGGTAGATGAAGCTATATCCATCGTAGTTAGTCTGTCATTGTTGGAGATGCGGTTGTTTGTCATATGAAGATGTTGAGGTTGGCTGGGTTAAATATCACCTGAGGATGCTGAGATCGTCTTTGGCTTGTCTACTACTACTACTACCACCACCACTGCTACCTCGGGCAGCTCCTCTTCAAACCTCCTGAACCTCTTCAATTATATATATGTATGGATGTAATTTTTTCGCTTCTATGTTTTCTTGAGCTTCAAGTTTTAACGAAAGCCAATCAGAACACATGCATTAGCGCCGCATCCGTTTTCTTGGGGCATTAACTTAGGCCAGGACCTCCAGCTGTAGCCTCCACATCGCAATGCAGGTCTCGTCTGGAGCTTCGGGTACCAATAGCAGTCCTTGGTCCAGGTATCACGAATAATATTTACAGCCATGGAGAACCGCCTGTTGTCAGTTGACACAAATAAGATGGGGAAACCCTGATTGAAAGCTGCTATGTATCTTGATGGTATCTAAGTGGTTGGCCAAGTTGTGGTTATGGTGTTCTCAAACAGGTTTTCATTCCTTCTACTCAATAATCTCTGCGCATTTATCGAATGAAACTCCCCACTTGAAGTTCATACAGGAACCATATCGATAGTCTCTGGGGGCAAGAAATCTAAAATAATACGCCCACATATCCATCCGCCAGTCACCAGAGGCAATTATCAAACCTTCTGTCACAAACTACATATTTGTTGTGTCACACGATATCGATCTCCTCCTTTCGGAGTGTTGTTGATGATCGCCGATGGAACGATAGGTAATATTTTCGCGGCCAAGCCACTTGCGCGGACCCTGTGTTATGATCTCACAACTTGCGTGCCAACTTTTTGAACCATCAACAATAATCCGACAACAATCAGCAGTCAGAAGAGCAGAAAAAGAAATAGGGGCATGAGCCCTCTGCACGCTGGCTGAAAAGTGGCGTCATGCAACTATCTGCTGACTCATGGATTGGCTTGCTTTTATTATGGATATGGATAACTACACTGTTGGAAATAATACAAGAGCAACCTCCGTTGCATGATTTATGACCCTCTCGAAATGTCGCTAATGCAATTATTAATACATCCCGGACAGATTAGGACACACAAATCGACGACCCATGCTGCCTAACCAAGTTGTGTCAACTTCATTTCTGACTATGTAGCTACCCGGCTTAGTCCGTTCTCTTCTTCTAATTCTGGCTATGGTTGGTGTCGTTTGTGTTTGACGCGCTCAAAATATTTATGGGATAGGCTGCTATCCGCAGTCTTTGTATCGCTAAAACTCATCATGATATGACGCCCAGAGAAAAGGGCGAAATGCTGCACAAAATGGAAACGTATATACATGAACCATTGTAATTCGAACTCTTTCAAGAGAAGATATATTCTACTGTGGGCATGGATATATCTTCATCAGGGTTACAAATGTTTCAAGTATATTGCATGATAGAAAACTGCTCTGCAGCAGAAGTCAAGTTCTCTCTATAATAAAGCCTGTCAACAAAACCTCGTCTCAATGCCAAAGCGTATCACAACGAATCACAACGGGAACCACTCAAACCGCGGAAGCATACTTATCATGGCTCCTTGGCTCCCCATCCCAGCCATCTCCTCCTGCTTTCCTTCTTCCCATCAATCAACCCTTCCTCCCCCTCTTCCCCTACTACCCCTGACCCATTCTGACCCCCTTTCTTCGACCTCAACACAAACTTCCACGTCGTCCCCAAATGCCACCGCTTTGACTCCACGATCTCCAGTCCACTGCGCCGCACAACCTCCCCTATATCCCGATTCCACCAGCATCCATGTCGATCCGCATGGGCAGGCGCAAGGTCATCCAGCAATTTGTTGACCCACAGGTAATGTGAGCGGCCATGTTCCAGCAGCAGAATTTCCCCACGCTCAGGCTTGACCAGGGTACCAAGATGGATGAGGTAGGACACGGGATCGGGATGCGAGCAGAGACCCATTGTTTGGATTACGGTGTCGAATTGGTAAGGGTGCCCGGGGGTAGTTTCAGGGGCTGAGGTGGCAGTATGTGGTGGAGGCGGAATGGGATCCATAGCATCCTGCGTTCGGAAAGCAACCAGCTTGAAATGCGGATACATCTTTTCGAATTTCTCTTTGGCGATTTGCACCATTTCCGGGCTTTGGTCGACAAATGTGACGGATCTGCACCCCTGGATCTCCGCCTTTCCGCTCTTCTTATCTCCTCCCCGTTTCTCCCCAAGGGAATAGTATTCCATATTCCGCCCTGTCCCGCAGGCGACTTCTAGAACATTACCACGGGCTCTTTGGACCAGCTCCCTGCGCTTTCTGCCCAGGCCCATCACCTTCTCCGCCATCTCCACTTCCGCATCATATGTTGGAGCGGTTTTGTGGAATCGATCCGAGACGTCGTTAGGGACGGAGAGAGCTCTGGAAGTTTTCACTGACTTGTCGTAGGTTACGTAGAGATAGCTTCCGTATGCTGAGAAGCAGAAGACGGCAACTGCACACGCCGTCAATACTTTTGGATTTATTGACCGTGTACGGGGTAACGCCTGTGCTGTTGTGGACTGGGTTGGCCTGGTTCTGTTGCGCAAGATATATCAACATCCAGATGGCAAAGTGATGGTATTTGGTTCAAATAATAGTAACAGAGGAACCAAGTATATCTATGCATTGAAGGGAAGGGGTTGAGGTTGCTCAGTGGCCGCGCTGGAGGGATATTATAGACCGCTATTTTGGAAGCAAAATAATTCCCCAAGAGCGCATAAAAAGGATATCACAAACAGCCAACAGGATTTCTAATGTATTCCACTGACCTGTGAGATGGCACAACTGGTAGTGGGCTCAGAATGCCTTTTGTCCTCATCGCCTCTGTGGGCTTTCTGCGCCCGCCATATTTGGGTGACGGTTTGGTGCTTGCGGGTGATACCATTGAGGTATATCGGAAAATCCAGAGCAACTCTGGTCAATAGTTATAAGGAGGATATGGAGATATTCGGTGTATATATGTATGTAAAATCCCAACGTAATAGTTCCCAGGGGGGGGGGGGGGGGGAGTTACGCGCTGTATGCTTCAGAGTGGTTGTAGCAGGTCTGCAGCCGTCGTTCTGGGATAAAGAAAACGCAGACTGACAAAAACAAGACGGAGGAGGATAGATTGGAAAATCGATAATCTATGCCCAAGAGCAATTGTGAGGCCAATCTGTAGTTTCTTTGCCTGCCAGGATCGGTATCTATATATACCTATGGATATTGGCTAAACCGGTTTAACGGGTGAGAGCACACTGATACGGAGAAGTATATCAAAAGAGATAAAAATATATCTCGAGAAACTCGTTCTATACTCCTTTTTGCGAACTAGGGATAAGTGTCAAAAAAGCAGATGAAGTCAGTTTGCACAGCTCGAAAGTAAAAATCCCAGCAAAATAAAAAAAAAAAAAAAAAAAAAAAAAAAAAAAAAAATTTGCCGATGCAGCGATAACTAGTCAACTCTGACTGGTTCCAACCCAACAGCTCTTCTAACTTCAACCGAACCCAGCCCTATGTCATTTCCAGTCATCAGGTTCGAATTGCCCCGGGTTTATTGTCCAACCAACACCCGGGACGGCACACAATAGCCAATGACGCAGCCCCGAATTAACGATCCGATGCGGCACCAGATGATACGATACGAACTACCTCCCTTTATCTCCACTTGTCCAGCGAGCCAGCTATGTTACCGACCAATGACTGACAGATACCACCTCCAACTGTGCTGAATGCGCAAGAAAAAAACAAAAGCGTCACGCCCATCGAATCAGTATAGAGGACCGCTGCAATTCTTTACCAATGACAACTACATGCTCAGCGCATGAGACCTATCACGGCTCTGGAACAACATTGCCGGATTCCATTCTCATAGTCGGGGGCGGTGTGTTTGGACGTGAGTGGGAAAGCACATATATTTTGAGCATCCCCATCTGCAAAATGAAACTGAACAGAGAAACTAACAGGTCACAGTATCCACTGCCCTTGCTCTCTCCGCTCGCCATTCGGGCAAGATTACCCTCATCGATTCGTCCCCTGCCATCCCAAACCCTCACGGGTCCTCTGTAGATACCTCCCGCATTGTCCGTGCAGACTATGTTAAGACAGCGTATGTTACCCTGGCCGAGTCCGCTCTTGAAAAATGGCGCAACACAGACTGGGGCCATAAAGGCCGATTTACGCAGAGTGGTCTTGTCCTGGTGTCATCGGGCGACACTGCAGGCAAGCGCTATGTGCGCGAGAGCTACGAGAATGTTAAAGCTCTTAATCCCAAGGCTGTCGAGGAGCTGCCTACAAGGCAAGACGTGGAAAGGGTAGTGCCAGGCTATGGATCTGGCCTCCATGTATCGGGCGGGTACGTGAATTGGGGATCTGGATGGGCTGATGCGGAAGCATCCGTGCGGTTCGCGAAGAAGAAAGTTGAAGAGACGGGCAAGGTGGATTTCCGTACCGGGGAGGTCAAGCGGATCCTGTCATCATCAGAAAGCCAAAGGGTATCTGAAGGTGATCCAGGAACCGTGGGAGCCAAAGAAACGGTAACCGGCGTCGAACTGACCGATGGCAGCACCATCACAGCCGATCTAGTCGTATTAGCTACGGGAGCCTGGACAGGCCGCCTCGTCGATCTCCGGGGAAGAGCCGAGGCCAAAGGCCAGGTGCTTGCGTACATTCGCATTTCCGACGACGAGCAAGCCAAGCTCGCCAACATGCCTACCGTCCTCAACTTCTCGACGGGCATGTTCATTATCCCGCCGCGCAACAACCTACTGAAGATCGCGAGACATTCATACGGCTACCGCAATCCGCAGCGCGTGGCCGTCCGAAGTAGTAACAACACCCGTACCACCACGACGGAGACGATTGAGGTCAGTCTGCCCGCTGGCGGAGACGTGCCGATCCCGCAGGAGGGGGAGGAGGCATGTAGAACCGCGCTGAGAGAGATGCTGCCCGCCTTTGCGGAGCGGGCGTTTGTGAAAACGCGTGTGTGCTGGTATACAGATACGTGAGTACTTAAATCCTCCTACCCGCGCCCCCCCCCCCAACAAAAAAAACAAAAAACGCTCGTTCACTACGGTCTTCCTGATCATTCATTCCGTTCTAACCCCCGAACCAGACCCACAGGCGACTTTCTAATAACACACCACCCACACTACGCGGGCCTCTTCCTCGCAACCGGCGGCAGCGGACACGGGTTTAAATTCCTCCCCGTGCTCGGGGAGAAGATCGTCGATGCGATACAGGGCCGTTTGGACGTGGAGTTGCAGGAGTTATGGGAGTGGCCCAGGTCTCCTTCGTCTGACACTGCTGATGCTCCCTGTGCGATTGTGTGGACGGAAGATGGGAGCAGGTCTGGGTCCAAGGGGCTGATTTTGATGGATGAGTTGGCGAGGGGGAGGATGATGGATTCCTGAAGGGCTATCTCTATGTATGCGCTGTATGTGGTGGCCTGTTGTCATCATCATCATCATCATCATCCTGCTCCCTCCGGATCTTTTTCTAATATTGATTTTTATGCACTTTACGGATTGTTCTTGCAATCGCTCCTCTGTGCGAGAGTCCTTGGAGCTACAGCTTCAACCCTTCATGGAATTTTGCACAAGAACAATACTTAAAAGAACAAAGAACACACATCTCCCCAGATCTTCAAATATCGACTCAAAAACTCCCCTACATTTTACCCTCCTGTCAACCAACAAAACTTAACCCGGTTTTAAAATAATGAACTTTTCCGCCCCTCGGGCTTTGGAAAGCTACATTCCTTATTCCCCCCATGAGTATTTAAAGAGCTTGGAAATGCAATTCAATTCAATCACTAAAACATACCATAGTGAATGATAAGAGGAGATGGAAGGAATTAATTGATGAAGAAAAGAAAACCCCACCCAGGTCACAATCTAGTAGTAGAGGGACACTTAATAAAACGTAATAAGTTGTAGTAAAATTTGTCTCCCATGTCAAATGACGGAGAGAAAGGAAACAAAGCAGCAGAAGTGTGGTGGGCCCACATAATTGCGTAGAAACCCGATGAAAATACCATATCACGGGCTTCAAAAAGAAATGCCAAATAAGAAAGAAATACCCCATGAATGCCCCCATTAATTTCAATTTTGCGCCAAAGCACCCCCATCCCCTATAAGGTCTGCGGTAGCTAGGGAAAGAAAAGAGCGCGACTTTTTCTAATGTGAACAATAATAACAAGCCCCTTGCAATGGAATGAAAGGTTAAGCAAGGGAAAAGTAGTGCAAAACACTGGAAAAAAAAAATTCGCTATAACTCCGTGAAAATGCACGACTAGAAGCTAGAAAGGAAACGAGGTTTTATTTTTTATTTTTTTATAAAAAAAAAAAAAAAAAAAAAAAAAAAAAAAAAAACACAATTTCCTTTCTCTCAATGGCGGTTGCTTGCTTGGGAGGGTAATTGTTATTTATTTTTATTTTTATTTTTTTTTTAAATTGAGCATGGGAGCTCAAACCTCGAGGGGGAAATTATATGTCCACCGGGTTGCGACTCCGGTCAATTGGTAATGGACGAGGGGAGGAAAAAAACACCTGTTATACATAAGTTGTTGTAATGTAGGAAGGAGAATGTTTTGGGAAGTGTTCCCGTTGGATGAGAGAAGCTTGTAGAAGTGTGCAGGACTAAAGCAATCAAACTTTGCGGAAGTCTTTGAACACAAAGTTAGCAGACGTCAACAGACCAGGGAGAGGCAAGGGAAGGCAACGCAAAGATATCATTCCCCACACGTACCAGTAAGCACGGGATAAATCATCTCGAAAGCCTGATAAATCTCCTCTCTAACTTTCGCCCCCGTCAATACAATCTTGCCACTGACGAAGATCAAAAGCACAATCTTCGGTTTCATCATACGATAAATGAGTCCTGGGAAAAGTTCGGGTTCATAGGAGCTGAAATTATGATGACGACTCGCAAGCCCTTCAAGACGAATGGGGAACTTAATATCACACGACCCGACAATGTTCTGGATCTTGAAATCCGTGAATTTCGCATTGAACCCGAGTTTCTGGATGATACGGGCATATTTTCTCGAGGCCAGCTTAGAGTCATCTTCAGATTTGGCACCGGTAACTACCATCTTGCCCGAGGCGAAGATCAGGGCGGTGGTCTTCGGTTCGCGAATGCGCATGATAACAGCAGCGAAACGCTATATGATAGTAGATTTTGTTTTAGCCATATATTGCCATGGCTATAAAACATTCTTCCTTACCCACGTGAAGTGAGGGGAACAGAGTAAAGAGAAAATCGGTGCTTCAGTACCTTTGGGTTGTACTCCGCATTTCTCGCATGGAGCGCAATAGTCTTCAGATCCAAACGGCAGTCAAGATTGACCGTAGCAACAATATTTCTTTTTGAAAAGAAAAGCCAAAAAAAAAAAATTATTATGTTCAGCTCTCTGGTAAACCAGAAGGAGGGGGTTTGCATTCTTCAGAAGTGTAATATACTCACTGCAAAGTAGGCACGATGCCGCTAACCCCAGGACCACCAACAGCGGCAGCTCCAGGAGTCGCAGCAGGAGTTGCGGGAGTCACCCCGTTACCAGAAGCAGTGGCATTCCCCAACAGCAGTTGACCATTCGATTGTTGCAATCCGTTCATCATGCCTGGTTCTTTCTCCAAGGATGGCGGAGTGAGGTCACCAGCACCGCCTGGGAAGGATAATGACGCTGGAGAAGTGAAGGCCTTCGCCTGCTGGGCAGTGGAAGGGTGGGTAGTAAGGGATTCCATTTTTGGGAGAGACGCGACTCGAAGAGCGGATTGAGATGATGAAAATGTGTGAACCAGGCTAGGCTGTTGGACGACCCAAGTTTCAATGGTCTATGATGAGATCTATGATGTCAGAGAACGCCACTTCCTCTAAATCTGTATTATGACAGTGGAAAGCTGTAAAGGAAACGAAGTGGAGTTGACAGCAAGAGAGTGTTTGTTGTGTTCTTAGTTATTGACTTGAGAGCCAAGGCTTAATAATACTATGAAAACAAACAAAGAATTGGGGGCTCTTAAAACCGGATCCAAGTAGAAAAGAGGGACACTAAGGAGAAGAGAGAATGGGGGATGTTGTATTTTATAAGTGGCTAGTGGCGATGAAATTCCATGTGTTGTGGATTGTTGAAGGCAAAACCGAGGGCTGGAAATATGCGGTTCTGCAACCGCAACGAAGGGGAAAAGAAAAGAAAAGAAAAGAAAAAAAAAAAAAGGATCTTCCATACCGTTTGAGCTTGCGGGAGATGAACAACTCAATGTCTCCCCCGACAACACAGCCAATGAAGTAAGATAACGCGGCGATGAAGAGGCCAGAATTATGTAACACCAAAAGGGATCCTCTCCTCCACTTCACGACAACTTCTGATGATCACGGGGTCGAGAGATGGTGTGATTCAAGTGGCTCGACGAACAGTTCAACAGTGATGACCAAACCGAACTGATCAGTCGAGAGGAAGAGCACTGAGCAGATAGACCGCCCAATTCAAGATGAAAGGACGCAGTCGGGACAATACCAGAAAGCCTCGACGATGCGGGATGGCTGTGTGTGGAGAGAGAGAGAGAGAGAGAGAGAGAGAGAGAGTGTGTGTGTGTGTGTATGTGTGTGTGTGTGTGTGTGTGTGTGTGAGCGATGGAAATACTGTGTGGTATTTTTCCCGTTTCCTTTTCCTCTTCTTCTGCTGCTGCTGGTCTAAAAGAGGATTCTGAAGGAGTGTGTGAACAGGATTTCTCCTATGATGCAGTTATAGTAAAAACGGGTTAAAATTATTCCCTCCTTTATAATTTTTTTGTAGATATATTTGACTTCTTCTTCTTCTTCCTTCACTTGATCTGCCCTTTGAAATAATATGCCAACACCTCCCCCCTTTTTTTTTTTCTTTTTCTTTTTTTTCTTTCTTTAGTTATCTCTTGTGTGTTGGTAGTAGCAGCCAACCAAGCCAAGTTGCTGGTTGCTGGTTGCTGGTTGCTGGTTGCACTGTAGCAAAGATGTGTGTTGATGTCGAGCGGCAAAGAACCAGCTCAGACGCACTCTCCCCAGGCACAGGATAATATTATATGATCACTGGAGAGGACTTGGTTTGGGGGGGGGGGGGAAAAGAAGAGGGAGGGCGAGGAGGGGAACCGTAGAGGGA